TAATAAAGGTTGGAATGGAGGCCAGATCTAGTTGGCGCTCTGTGTCTGTGATACATTGTTTAATAAGTGCTTTGGCTTGATTGTAATCCATAGCGAGTAGATCTGGAGAAAATCCCAATGAGATTTTTGATGCTACCGCCTGCTTCCATGTGGATTGGAAGTCATCCTTCATGGTTAGTGGGGCAAGACCAAAGGGTGCACGGGATAGTCTGAGCCAGAGGTTGAGTATGGCCACCCATACCCTGGCCTCCACTCTCATAAAGCCCGTCTCTAGTCGCAGGGTGGCATTAGAAACACATTTAGGGACCTGCAAGGCCGATCTCAGAAACTTTGACTGAACCAGCTCTAATGGGGCAAAACTGGGGAAGGGGCCCAGCTGAGCACCATACAAGAGTTGGGCTAATGACTTGGCTTCAAACAGCTTGAGCGCTGCCGGTGTGAAGTGGCCCCCTCTTGTCTTAAGATATTTAAGAATGGCAATTGAGCTCCCCTGCGCAGTGTTGGATACTTGATCCCCATGAGCTCTAGGTTTCTAATCTATGTAATGTCTTTACGCTTGTGGGTAAACAATATTTCTTGCTGTTTCTTTGTCAGTGTTGATGTAGAGAGTGTCTGGTTTGCCTATTCTGGAACATGCAACATATAATTGTCCTTCTTTAAGGGTCCCTTTCAAATCTATGATACTATATGTGTGTGTGTGTGAATCATATAGAATCATATCTATCTATCTATCTATCTATCTATATTTATGACTGGATGGCTCTTTGTCAGGAGGGCTCTGATTACATTTTCTTGCCCTGGTGAAGAGAGTTGGACTGGATGGCCTTAAGTATTTTCTGTTGGTCATGGGGGTTCTGTGTGAGAAATTTGCCCCAATCTGTCATTTGTGGGGTTCAGCATGCTCCTTGATTGTAGGTGAACTGTAAATCCCAAAATTACAACTCCCAAATGTCAAGGTCTATTTCCTCCAAACTCCATCTCTGTTCATATTTCAGCAAGTGGAATATTTGTGCCAAGTTTGGCCCAGATCCATCATTGTTTGAATCCACAGTGCTCTCTGGATGTAGGTGAACTACAACTCCAAAAATTCAAGGTCAATGTCCACCAGACCCTCCCAGTATTTCCTCTTGGTCATGGGAGTTCTGTGTGCCAAGTTTGGTTCAATTCCATCATTGGTGGGGTTCAGAATGCTCTTTGATTGTAGGTGAACTATAAATCCCAAGAAATACAACTCCCAAATGACAAAATAAAAAAAATGAGTGAAGAACATACATTGGGTTGTTAGGTGTGTGTCCAAATTTGGTGTCAATTGTCCAGTGGTTTTTGAGTTCTGTTAATCCCACAAACGAACATTACATTTTTATTTATATAGACTAGCCGTCCCCTGCCACACGTTGCTGTGGCCCAGTCTGTGTATATGTGTTTTGTGTGTGTATATGTGGCTTTGCACATGAGTTGTAATGTAAATTTTTTTTGGGGGGGGGGGTTGGTTTTTTAAGTGTTTTCTGCTGTGTTTTTCAGTGTTTTATGAGTGATAATCACTCGTTGGCCTGACAGGTATATTGTGTTCAATTTTAGTGTCAATTCATCCAGTTCAGAATGCTCTTTGATTGTAGGTGAACTATAAATCCCAGCAACTACAACTCCCAAATGACAAAATCATTTTTTTTTAGTGAAGGACATACATTGGGTTGTTAGGTATCTTGTGTCCAAATTTGGTGTCAATTCGTCCAGTGGTTTTTGAGTTCTGTTCATCCCACTAACGAACATTACATTTTTATTTATATAGATTTGATACTGAAGTCACAATAAAACAACTGGGAATCCCCGTCCTCTCGCACGCCGGCTAGATTTTGCATCATACTTTTACTTCATAATTCCTAATTTAAATGTAAGTTTTAGATATGTTTATTAATATTGGGATATAAGTGTTGGCTAGCTAATGGGTAGCCTCAGCTGGGGCGTTGCCATGGCAACATAGCCTCCAGGCAGAAGAGAAAGGGGCGGAGCCAACTGCCACTGAAAGAAAGAACACCGTTTGAAAAGTTGTCAGTTGGTGGCTGGATGAACCCAAAGGATGGTTGGTCCTAGATCGGTGGAGCTAGACCAAGTAGTTTAAGCCTCTGACAAGTAGTCAGAAGCGTGCTTGCTCCATCCATGTTCAACATTTACACAAATGACCAGCCACTGCCAGAAGGGACAGAGAGTTTCATCTATGCTGATGATCGTGCCATTACCGCTCAAGCAGGGAGCTTTGAGATGGTTGAACAGAAGCTCTCCGAAGCTCTAGGTGCTCTTACTGCCTCTTACAGGGAAAACCAGCTGATCCCTAATCCATCTAAAACACAGACATGTGCCTTTCATCTCAAGAACAGACAAGCATCCCGAGCTCTGAGGATTACCTGGGAAGGAATCCCACTGGAGCATTGCAGCACACCCAAATAACTGGGAGTCACTCTGGACCGTGCTCTGACCTACAAGCACTGCCTAAACATCAAGCAAAAAGTGGGCGCTAGAAACAATACACGAAAGCTGACTGGCACAACCTGGGGATCACAACCAGACACAGTGAAGACATCTGCCCTTGCGCTATGCTACTCTGCTGCTGAGTATGCATGCCCAGTGTGGAACACATCTCACCACACAACAGTGGATGTGGCTCTTAATGAGACATGCCGCATTATCACGGGGTGTCTGCGCGCTACACCACTGGAGAAATTACACTGCTTAGCCGGTATTGCACCACCTGACATCCGCCGGGAAGTAGCAGCCAATAGTGAAAGGACCAAGGCAGAGACATCCCAGCTCATCCCCTGTTTGGGTATCAGCCAGCACGTCAACGACTTAAATCAAGAAATAGTTTTCTAAGATCTACAGAGACACTCGCTGGAACACCTCAGCAAGCGAGAGTCCAAAAGTGGCAGGCTCAAACCCAGCACCTCAATCCATGGGTGATACCAGATGAGGGACTCCCCCCTGGGCACACAGAAGACTGGGCAACTTGGATGGCGCTGAAAAGACTGTGCTCTGGCACCACGAGATGCAGAGCCAACCTTCAGACATAGAATCATAGAATCAAAGAGTTGGAAGAGACCTCATGGGCCATCCAGTCCAACCCCCTGCCAAGAAATATTGCATTCAAATCACCCAACAGATGGCCATCCAGCCTCTGTTTAAAAGCTTCCAAAGAAGGAGCCTCCACCACACTCCAGGGCAGAGAGTTCCACTGCTGAACGGCTCTCACAGTCAGGAAGTTCTTCCTCATGTTCAGATGGAATCTCCTCTCTTGTAGTTTGAAGCCATTGTTCCGCATCCTAGTCTCCAGGGAAGCAGAAAACAAGCTTGCTCCATCCTCCCTGTGGCTTCCTCTCACATATTTATACATGGCTATCATATCTCCTCTCAGCCTTCTCTTCTTCAGACTAAACATGCCCAGTTCCCTAAGCCGCTCCTCATAGGGCTTGTTCTCCAGACCCTTGATCATTTTAGTCGCCCTCCTCTGGACACATTCCAGCTTGTCAATATCTCTCTTGAATTGTGGTGCCCAGAATTGGACACAATATTCCAGGTGTGGTCTAACCAAAGCAGAATAGAGCATGGGGAGCATGACTTCCCTGGACCTAGACACTATGCTCCTATTGATGCAGGCCAAAATCCCATTGGTTTTTTTTTGCCGCCACATCACATTCCTGGCTCATGTTTAACTGTTGTCCACGAGGACTCCAAGATCTTTTTCACACGTACTGTTCTCAAACCAGGCATTGTCCCTCATTCTGTATCTTTGCATATATACACACAAAGTGTGTGTGTGTGTGGGGGGACGGGACGGGACGGGACGACACAAACCCTTTATTGCATCCCTGTATGCTTGTTTGTCATTATTGCTATGGCCACGCAATAAATATTTTTTTGCAGTTTAAAAGATTTAACTTTTGTGGTGTCCATCCTTGCCCTCCCCATTAGAAAGGGGGCTTCTGCCTTTTTGGGAAATATTTTGGTTTCTTTGCCCCTACAAGAGAAATGACCTGATGCAGGGGGGGGGGGGGGGGGGGGGGGGGCTTGGGGGGCTTCAGCCCCCCCCCCCCGAAATTCTCATGGTGGTCCGCGAGAAGGCCTTACTGGTATATTATTTAAACTGTTTTGTTTATTCATATCATGGTCTGATCACCATGCTCAATATATCCCATATGCATGGGGGTATTGGGGTAATGATACAAAAGGTTTGCTAGGGTAGACCCTCTTTCACTCAGACTCAGCCCCCCCCAAAACTCAGGCCCCCCGACCCCCCTCCTGAATAAAACTCAGCTCCCTCCCACGAATCGAAATCCTGGCTACGGGCCTGCTTAGCACTAAGAGACCTACAACAACCCAGAACCAAGAGAGTTAAGTATAGCGACAGTGAGAAGTGTGTGGAAGGGCCCCAAGCAGGCATGTAGCCGAGGGGGGGGGTGGGGGCTTGAGGGGCTTCAGCCCCCCCCCCGAAATTCTCATGGTGGTTCGCGAAAAGGCCTTACTGGTGCATTATTTAAACTGTTATGTTTATTCATATCATGATCTGATCACCATACTCAATATATCCCATATGCATGTGGGGTATTGGGGTAATGATACAAAAGGTTTGCTAGGGTAGACCCTCTTTCACTCAGACTCAGCCCCCCCGAAACAAACTCAGCCCCCCCCCCCCGAATTGAAATCCTGGCTACGGGCCTGCCCAGAGCTGGGGGGGGGGGGGGGGGGGGGCTTGAGGGGCTTCAGCCCCCCCCCGAAATTCTCATGGTGGTTCGCGAAAAGGCCTTACTGGTGCATTATTTAAACTGTTATGTTTATTCATATCATGATCTGATCACCATAGTCAATATATCCCAGATGCATGGGGGTATTGGGGTAATGATACAAAAGGTTTGCTAGGGTAGACCCTCTTTCACTCAGACTCAGCCCCCCCCCCCCCCTCCGAACCCCCCCTGAAAAAAACCCCCCCCCCCCCGAATCGAAATCCTGGCTACGGGCCTGCCCCCAAGCATATGTGAACTTGAGAAATCTCCAAATAAATGTTTCTGTTCAGTTTAAATACTGAGTGGTCATGGCTACTTATTAAAAGGAAGATTTTCTATATGAAAGAGAAGAAGCTGAAGATCTAGTGGAGCCAAAGACAGATTTGTGGTAATGAGAAACACAAATTAAAGTGTGTTTCGAGTGCTCTACGTATTAATTGGTGGCAGCAGTGGGATAGAAAAATAAGATCCCTCCTGCCATGCAACAGATTTGAGTGAGTTTCAGCTTCCATTTTCTTTTTCAACGGGAAAGGCACCAAATCCTGGTAGATCTCAAAAGCTTTCCCCCTGTGAGTCTGGTTTTGATTTTTAGCCAAAATTCGGTGGATTTGTATTTTCACTGAGAATCTTGCAAATCTTAAAATTCAGTCTTTTACAGAGTTCTTGGGAAATGAGGAGGTGCAACCTTTCCATTTCTCCCAATGTTGTCTTGTGATATTGAGATGTCCGGACATATTTCACTGCACCAGGACACAATGGCTTCTAAGGGGTTGTTCCCGGTTTTCCTCCTCTACCCCAGAGCTTGAACTTCAATATTAGCTGGTCTTCCAGCTTGTATTTTAGTTGTTGACTGACATCCTGCATATTTTGAACTTTTCCTCATTCCTTGGACTTATTTCCAAAGCTTCTCCCACTGTGATGGTGTGTGAGACGGTGGCAGTCCTGCGACGGTCCTTCGAAAGCGAATAAAAGGCAGCCATCCCATTTTAATGTCATTTCGCAGACACTGCCATTCATGCACTCATTCCCCCTGGCTCCGTGTCCCTGCTCTATCTTGCCGGCTTCACCTGACCAATTGTTGCCCACCAACTGACTTCTCCTCCTTCTGATGGGCTGCCAATCACCCTCCCATCTGACCTCCTGACCAAGGAATCTCATGCATGAAAGAGCACAAGTTCCCATCTGGAACCTATGACGTCATGTATGGCAAGAAGGAAACAACATAAGTAAGGATCCTGCTCTGTCATCTGGGCGGAGGCCAAAAGGGAGCCGAGACCAATAGAAAATACTGGAGGGATTTGGGAGGAATTGGGTTAGGGTTAGGGGAGATGTATTTCACTTACATCCAGAGAGTACTGTAAACCCAAACAATGATGGATCTGGTCCAAATTTGGCAAAAATATCTGATATGCTGAAATTTGAATACTGGTGGGATTGGTGGGATTGGGGGGGGGGGATTGATTTTGTCATTTGGGAGTTGGAGTTGCTGGGATTAATAGTTAACATACAAATGCCTGCTCTCCCCTCTGACTTCCTGCATATTATTGATCTTTTCCTCATGCCTTGGACTTATTTCCAAAGTTTCTCCCACTGTGATGGAGTCTCAGAAACGGCTCTCCCCTTGATTGAGAGTCCAGCTGAGAGCCCAGCCAATCACAGCAGGACAGGGGCTTTTGGTGGGAGTATTTGCCATCTTTTTCCAAAAAGGAAGAGAAGGACAGGTGGAGAGATCTTTGGCCTTTTCTGCCAAAGGGGTTCCTAAGAAAAGTGTTTTCTGATGTTCTTTGGCGATCCCTCTGAAACCCTCTCATCAGCATGTAGCCGGGGGGGGGGGGGGGCTTGAGGGGCTTCATCCCCCCCCCCAAATTCTCATTGTGGTCCGTGAGAAGGCCTTACTGGTGCATTATTTAAACTGTTTCTGTTTATTCATATCATGATCTGATCACCATACTCAATATATCCCATATGCATGGGGGTATTGGGATAGATACAAAAGGTTTGCTAGGGTAGATCCCTTTTCAATATTCTCAACCCAGCCCCCCCCCCCCCCCCGAATCCTGGCTACGGGCCTGCCTCTCGGCAACTCCCCCAGGGGTCCCAACCCCCAGGTTGAGAAATGCTGTTCTATAAATCCTTGCACCACCTGGCACAAATTCAACAAAACAAAAGGCAGGAGCATTATACTACTTTAAAATATTTTTATTTTAAAAATAAATAAATAATAGAACTTACACAAAACTTCTCTTCTGGCTGCCTCTGCTACCCAGTCCCGCTGCCCAGTCCTTCCTTCTTTTTTCTTTCCTAGAAAGAAAACAAGTCCCCATATTAGGTAATTCAAGCCCCCCCCCCCCACAAGTTCTCAGCAGCATCTTTTGAGTTAAGCCTGTTGGGATATAAACATTTACATATAAAGCCAGTGACTTGGGTAAGGAACGTAAGTAAAAGGCCAGAGAATTATAAGGAGTGAGGGGCCCCGTTCCAGAGGAGTCCTATGAATCCTGGGTGGAGCGATGGACACACTATGGAGCCAGCTGTCCCAGGGGTTCTTCATTCCAGATCTTCGATCTTGATATCTGTTGTTGAGCTAAGAGAAACAAAAATACATGTAAGAACATAAAACCCAAATACTCCTCCAGCTCAACAAGGATCCAACCCCCACCCAAACAGTTACTTCTCTCCCTGGGGCAGCTGGCTCCATAGTATGTCCATGCTCCCTTCTTCTGATGGGTAATTAAAGGTACTGTTTGCTTACCATTTCGGATGACCTAGGGCCACCTCTGCTGATGGGTTATTAAAGATGCACTGTGAAAGAAAGAGAAGATCAAAGTGGCTATTGGGAGACTTTCTCTGAAAGCTTGGCTGTGGCCTTCAACTCAGCAACGGAATGGACAGCGGTGGTCTGGTTCGGAACTGCATTCTTATGGCAACGGTGGAACACTAAGCTCTAGGGAAGCCATGGCTCCTTTCCGAATCCATAAAAAATCAAGGTACTGTTTGCTTACCATTTCAGATGAACTAGGGCCGCCTCTGCTGATGGGTTATTAAAGGTGCACTGTGAAAAAAAGAGAAGATCGAAGTAACTATTCGGAGACTTTATCTGAAAGATTGGCTTCCCCTTCCCCTTGCCAGAAAGACAGTACTCCTGCCTTTCACTCCTTACCCAGGATTCATAGGACTCCACTCGAAGGGGGTCCTCACGCCTTGCATCCGGGCGCGGCTGTGGTGCTGGAGTCATGTTCAGGGCGTCTGTTCTTTCTTGGGAGCTTGAACCCCAAAGGTCCTCAAACCTCTCTTCTGATGGGCCATTCCATCCCACCCTTTCACTCCTTACCCAGGATTCATAGGACTCCACTCGAAGGGGGTCCTCACGCCTTGCATCCGGGTGTGGCTGCGATGCTGATACCATCCAGAAATGCTGTAAAGAAAGAAAAGAGACTTCATTCCAATGCTGATCTCTTCGCAGAAGTACAATGCTCCTGCCTTCCCCTCCTTACCGAAGTCTCCAAAGAGATATCCACGAAGGAGGATTCTTTCGATTCTTCCGGAGCACTAGAGAGGGAGAGAAAACAACAAAATGTCTGCACTGGATCACAGGTCCTTTCTAAAACACCAGTGAATTAAATTAAAAGAAGCAGAAGAAAAAAGGAAGGGTGATTCCTGATAGGAAATACTTTAATGGATCTCCTCCTCCGGCAACACGAAAAGGTGTCTTGACAGACTTCCAGAGGAGTCCTGTGAATCCTGGGTGGAGCGATGGACACACTATGGAGCCAGCTGTCCCAGGGGTTCTTCATTCCAGATCTTCGATCTTGATATCTGTTGTTGAGCTAAGAGAAACAAAAATACATGTAAGAACATAAAACCCAAATACTCCTCCAGCTCAACAAGGATCCAACCCCCACCCAAACAGTTACTTCTCTCCCTGGGACAGCTGGCTCCATAGTCTGTCCATGCTCCCGTCTTCCGATAGATTATCAATGGTGACCTGTGAAAGAAAGAGAAGATCAAAGTGATTATTCGGAGAGTTTCTCTGAAAGCTTGGCCTCCCCTTCCCCTTGCCAGAAAGACAGTACTCCTGCCTCTCACTCCTTACCCAGGATTCATAGGACTCCACGCGAAGGGGGTCCTCACGCCTGGCATCCGGGCATGGCTGCGGCGCTGATACCATACAGAAATGCTGTAAAGAAAAAAGAAGAGACTTCATTCAAATCCCGATCCCCTCCTCTTCGCAGAAGTACAATCCTCCTGCCTTCCCCTCCTTACCCAAGTCTCCAAATCGAGATCTCGGAGGAGGACTCCTCAATTTCTTCTGGGGGGCTAGAGAAGGAGAGAAAACAGCATAATGTTAGCAACAGATCAAGGGTGCTCACTAAAACACCCGTGAATTAAATTATAACAAGCAGAAGAAAAGAAGGAAGGGGGATACCTGATGGGATATACCTTGATGGATGTCCTCCTCCTACAACATGAAAATACGTCTTGGCAGACGTTCCTGATGTTCTGCAAAGGAGAGAGGAGGACAAGGTCAGAGGGAAGAGGACGGAGTTGCTTTGGGAGAGCAGCTGTTTTAGGGCCATTGCTCTTCCCATAGTACCTTCATTTTTGTGACATACATGATATCTGAAACAATTTAGTTTACTAAAAACAACAATAATAAAATAATAAACTTTATACCCCGCCACCATCTCCCCAAGGGGCACACATGAAGCCAGGCCCAAAATTACAACAAATCATATACAAATACCGCAAATACAATATAAGGAAACAAAATACAGTCAAAATAAATACATAACATTACGAAATAACATAAACCGATCCAAAAAGACATGGAAAGAAATAAGACACAGACGGCGGGCCAGATGTGTTAGAAGTAAAATTGGCAAAAATTGGTAAAACCCTGGATGAGATACGTGGAATATGTTTCTAAGGGAGATGTGTTTCTAAGGGGAGGGGGCCTCTAAAGGACCAAAAAAAACCCAATTCAAGTTAAACCTTCAATAACTCGCCCCCTCCCTCTTTTTTATTATTTTGTTAATTATTTTCTCTCTTTCCTGCTTTCCCTTCCCCCCTCCTGCCCCACCAGTGCCAAAGGGCCAAACACTTACTTTTAGAAATCTTCGGAAAGACATGTTGCTGTTTGCAGTTGAGACACAAAAAGAAAAGCAGCCTGCGGCCTCGAAGTCAACAACGGAATGGGCAGCCTGGGTCTGGTTCGGAACTGCATTCTTATGGCAACGGTGGAACACGAAGCTCCAGGGAAGCCATGGCCCCTTTCCATTGTCATAGATGTTTCTAAAATAAGATGTTATCCACTTTGGAGCAGGTATAGATGGTGGGACTGGTGTTTCTTTGGGCTTGGGTTCCAGCTCTGGAGGCTGCTTTGACGTTGTAGGTGGAGCCGGCTGGACACCCGAAGAATGGTTGTCCTGTGATGTTGTACGATTGGTGGAGCCGGTGTTTCTTTGGGCTTGCTTTCTGGCTCTTGAGGCAGCTTTGATGTTTTAGGTTGGTCATAGATGTTTCTAAAATAAGACGTGATCCACTTTGGAGCAGGTATTGATGGTGGGACTGGTGTTTCTTTGGGCTTGCTTTGTGGCTCTTGAGGCCAAACACAGTCTTCGGAAAGACATCTTTTCCAATCACAGGTTACATAGAAAGAGAAAACCTGCCTGTGGCCTTCAACTCAGCAACAGAATGGGCAGCACGGGTCTGGTTTGGAACTGCATTCTTTAGTCTTCTAAATCTTCGATCTGGATATCTGTTGTTGGTCTAAGAGAAACAAAAATACATGTAAGAACATAAAACCCAAATACTCCTCCAGCTCAAAAAGGATCCAACCCCCACCCAAACAGTTACTTCTCGCCCTGGGACAGCTGGCTCCATAGTATGTCCATGCTCCCGTCTTCCGATAGATTATCAATGGTGACCTGTGAAAGAAAGAGAAGATCAAAGTGATTATTCGGAGAGTTTCTCTGAAAGCTTGGCCTCCCCTTCTCCTTGGCAGAAAGACAGTACTCCTGCCTCTCACTCCTTACCCAGGATTCATAGGACTCCACGCGAAGGGGGTCCTCACGCCTGGCATCCGGGCATGGCTGCGGCGCTGATACCATACAGAAATGCTGTAAAGAAAAAAGAAGAGACATCATTCAAATCCCGATCCCCTCCTCTTCGCAGAAGTACAATCCTCCTGCCTTCCCCTCTTTACCCAAGTCTCCAAATCGAGATCTTCGGAGGAGGACTCCTCAATTCTCTTCTGGGGCGCTAGAGAAGGAGAGAAAACAGCATAATGTCAGCAACGGATCAAACACCAGTGAATTAAATTAAAACAAGCAGAAGAAAAGAAGGAGGGGGATACCTGATGGGATACACCTTGATGGATGTCCTCCTCCGACAACACAAAAAGAAGTCTTCGTAGACCTTCCTGATGTTCTGCAAAGGAGAGAGGAGGACAAGGTCAGAGAGAAGAGGATGGAGTTGCTTTGGGAGAGCAGCTGTTTTAGGGCCATTGCTCTTCCCATAGCAGATTCATTTTTGTGACATACATGATATTTGAAACAATTTAGTTTACTAAAAACAATAATAATAAAATAATAAACTTTATACCCCGCCACCATCTCCCCAAGGGGCACACATGAGGCCAGGCCCAAAATTACAACAAATCATATACAAATACAGCAAATACAATACAAGGAAACAAAATACAGTCAAAATAAATACATAACATTACAAAATAACATAAACCGATCCAAAAAGACATGGAAAGAAATAAGACACAGATGGCGGGCCAGATGTGTTAGAAGTAAAATTGGCAAAAATTGGTAAAACCCTGGATGAGATACGTGGAATATGTTTCTCAGGGAGATGTGTTTCTAAGGGGAGGGGGCCTCTAAAGGACCAAAAAAAACCCCAATTCAAGTTAAACCTTCAATAACTCGCCCCCTCTCTCTTTTTTGTTATTTTGTTAATTATTTTCTCTCTTTCCTGCTTTCCCTTCCCCCCTCCTGCCCCACCAGTGCCAAAGGGGCTAACACTTACTTTTAGAAGTCTCCTGAAAGACATGTTGCCGTTTACACAAAGAGACACAAAAAGAAAAGCAGCCTGCGGCCCCGAAGTCAACAACGGAATGGGCAGCCTGGGTCTGGTTCGGAACTGCATTCTTATGGCAATGGTGGAACACGAAGCTCCAGGGAAGCCATGGCCCCTTTCCATTGTCATAGATGTTTCTAAAATAAGATGTTATCCACTTTGGAGCAGGTATAGATGGTGGAACTGGTCTTTCTTTGGGCTTGGGTTCCAGCTCTGGAGGCTGCTTTGATGTTGTAGGTGGAGCCGGCTGGACACCCGAAGAATGGTTGTCCTGTGATGTTGTACGATTGGTGGAGCCGGTGTTTCTTTGGGCTTGCTTTCTGGCTCTTGAGGCAGCTTTGATGTTTTAGGTTGGTCATAGATGTTTCTAAAATAAGACGTGATCCACTTTGGAGCAGGTATTGATGGTGGGACTGGTGTTTCTTTGGGCTTGCTTTGTGGCTCTTGAGGCCAAACACAGTCTTCGGAAAGACATCTTTTCCAATCACAGGTTACATAGAAAGAGAAAACCTGCCTGTGGCCTTCAACTCAGCAACAGAATGGGCAGCACGGGTCTGGTTTGGAACTGCATTCTTTAGTCTTCTAAATCTTCGATCTGGATATCTGTTGTTGGTCTAAGAGAAACAAAAATACATGTAAGAACATAAAACCCAAATACTCCTCCAGCTCAAAAAGGATCCAACCCCCACCCAAACAGTTACTTCTCTCCCTGGGACAGCTGGCTCCATAGTATGTCCATGCTCCCGTCTTCCGATAGATTATCAATGGTGACCTGTGAAAGAAAGAGAAGATCAAAGTGATTATTCGGAGACTTTCTCTGAAAGCTTGGCCTCCCCTTCTCCTTGGCAGAAAGACAGTACTCCTGCCTCTCACTCCTTACCCAGGATTCATAGGACTCCACGCGAAGGGGGTCCTCACGCCTGGCATCCGGGCATGGCTGCGGCGCTGATACCATACAGAAATGCTGTAAAGAAAAAAGAAGAGACATTATTCAAATCCCGATCCCCTCCTCTTCGCAGAAGTACAATCCTCCTGCCTTCCCCTCCTTACCCAAGTCTCCAAATCCAGATCCTCGGAGGAGGACTCCTCAATTTCTTCTGGGGTGCTAGAGAAGGAGAGAAAACAGCATAATGTTAGCAACAGATCAAGGGTGCTCACTAAAACACCCGTGAATTAAATTATAACAAGCAGAAGAAAAGAAGGAAGGGGGATACCTGATGGGATATACCTTGATGGATGTCCTCCTCCTACAACATGAAAATACGTCTTGGCAGACGTTCCTGATGTTCTGCAAAGGAGAGAGGAGAACAAGGTCAGAGGGAAGAGGACGGAGTTGCTTTGGGAGAGCAGCTGTTTTAGGGCCATTGCTCTTCCCATAGTACCTTCATTTTTGTGACATACATGATATCTGAAACAATTTAGTTTACTAAAAACAACAATAATAAAATAATAAACTTTATACCCCGCCACCATCTCCCCAAGGGGCACACATGAAGCCAGGCCCAAAATTACAACAAATCATATACAAATACAGCAAATACAATACAAGGAAACAAAATACAGTCAAAATAAATACATAACATTACAAAATAACATAAACCGATCCAAAAAGACATGGAAAGAAATAAGACACAGATGGCGGGCCAGATGTGTTAGAAGTAAAATTGGTAAAATTTGGTAATGTCCGGATGAGATAGGTGGAATATGTTTCTGAGGGAGTTGTGTTTCTAAGGAGGGGGAAGGGGCTCAAAATGACCAAAAAAACCCCATTTAGGTTAAACCTTCAATAACTCTCCCCTCCCCCTTTTTTGCAATTTTGCTAATTATTTTTTCTCTTTCCTGCTTTCCCTTCCCCCCTCCTGCCCGACTGGTGCCAAAGGGCAAAACACATTAAACAGTCTTCGGAAAGACATCTTTTCCAATCACAGGTTACACAGAAAGAGAAAACCTGCCTGTGGCCTTCAACTCAGCAACAGAATGGGCAGCACGGGTCTGGTTTGGAACTGCATTCTTCTTTAGTCTTCTAAATCTTCGATCTTGATATCTGTTGTTGAGCTAAGAGAAACAAAAATACATGTAAGAACATAAAACCCAAATACTCCTCCAGCTCAACAAGGATCCAACCCCCACCCAAACAGTTACTTCTCTCCCTGGGACAGCTGGCTCCATGGTCTGTCCATGCTCCCTTCTTCTGATAGATTGTCAATGGTGACCTGTGAAAGAAAGAGAAGATCAAAGTGATTATTCGGAGACTTTCTCTGAAAGCTTGGCCTCCCCTTGGGGGGGGGAGAACTTTTTCTCTGAAAGCTTGGCCCCCCCTTCCCCTTGCCAGAAAGACAGTACTCCTGCCTCTCACTCCTTACCCAGGACTCAAAGGACTCCATGCGAAGGGGGTCCTCAGGCCTGTCATCCGGGCGTGGCTGCGGCGCCGATACCATACAGAAATGCTGTAAAGAAAAAAGAAGAGACTTCATTCAAATCCCGATCCCCTCCTCTTCGCAGAAGTACAATCCTCCTGCCTTCCCCTCCTTTCCCAAGTCTCCAAAGACAGATCATCGGAGGAGGATTCCTTCATCTCTTCTGGGGCTAGAGAAGGAGAGAAAACAGCATAATGTCAGTAATAGATCAAGGGTGCCCACTAAAACACCCGTGAATTAAATTAAAACAAGCAGAAGAAAAGAAGGAAGGGGGATACCCAGGGGCGGCCCGTCCATTACGCCAAGTAAGCCGTTGTGGAACACTTTTTTTTCCCAGGGGCGCAGAGGCGCCTCTGTAAATGCCCCTCCAGACATTCCGGAAAACCTACAACTCCCCGGTTGTTGTTCTTATGGCTGAACTCCAGCTGGGCCCACGCGGGGAGGAGGGAGCCTGCAAGGGTTCGGAGGACTCGGGGGGGGGGGGGGAGAGAGAGAGAGCCTCACCGCTGTTGCCAGCTTCTGGGCCTGAGGGGAAGGGCAAGGAGGAGGACAACAAAGCCCCTTCCCCTTTAAACATGCAAATGAGCTCCGCGGGGCGCCTGGGTGCTAATCCCGCCCCTGCGTGCCAGCCAGCCAGTCAGAGTCCCCGCAGCTTCCCAGGGAGGGAGGAAGAGGGGGTGATGCCACGCGGTCCCTGCCCCCTTTGCAGCCGCTGCCATTTTGAGTGGAAGAGACGGGAGCAGCGGCGGAGGCTCCCTTCGTGGCCTTACGGGGAGAACGAGCACTTGTCCGCCAAAGAGGAGGAGGAGGAGGAGGAACCCCGGCTCGGCCTGAGGAGAAAGAAGGGGAGGGGGAGGGTCAACAGACACGGACTGCCCCCTCCCTTCCCCCCTCCAAAGGGCAGGTCACCCTGGGATGCCTGTCGCTAGGTTCTGGGTGCCATGGCCTCCCCGCGGGGTCTGTCAGGATCTCATGGAAATGCAGGATGGAACCGCTTTCCATGCCACAGCCAAGTTCCCTTCGTTTCTTCCTAAAGCTCGGGAGGGAGGGAGGGAGGGAGGGAGGGAGGGAGGGGGCGGATCTCATTCTGCAAATGATTCTGAGGCATAGAGGCCAGTATTCTGGGGGGTGGGGATCCAGGTTAGAAATGACCCTTGTTTATTATTATCGTATGCAAATTATCATGGTGCACAAACGTAAGTGTTCTCAGGAAAAATAAATCCAGGTTCCAAAGCCAATAAACACTATATTTAAAAAAAGAAAGAAAGAAATTATTGGAACTCTATTGAAGAGAAGAAGGGGGTCCTCACGCCTGGCATCCAGGTGTGGCTGCGGTGCTGATACCATACAGAAATGCTGTAAAGAAAAAAGAAGACACTTCATTGAAATCCCGGATGAGATACGTGGAACATGTTTCTGAGGGAGATGTGTTTCTAAGGGGAGGGGGCCTCTAAAGGACCAAAAAACCCAATTCAAGTTAAACCTTCAATAACTCGCCCCCTCCCTCTTTTTTATTATTTTGTTAATTATTTTCTCTCTTTCCTGCTTTCCCTTCCCCCCTCCTGCCCCACCAGTGCCAAAGGGCCAAACACTTACTTTTAGAAATCTTCGGAAAGACATGTTGCTGTTTGCAGTTGAGACACAAAAAGAAAAGCAGCTTGCGGCCTCGAAGTCAACAACGGAATGGGCAGCCTGGGTCTGGTTCGGAACTGCATTCTTATGGCAACGGTGGAACACGAAGCTCCAGGGAAGCCATGGCCCCTTTCCATTGTCATAGATGTTTCTAAAATTAGAAGTGATCCACTTTGGAGCAGGTATTGATGGTGGGACTGGTGTTTCTTTGGAGGCTGTTTCTTCTGGCATGCTTTCTGGCTCTGGAAGCTGCTCTTTCTGGCTCTGGAGCCTGCTTTGATGTTGTAGGTGGAGCCGGCTGGACACCCGAAGAATGGGTGTCCTGTGATGTTGTACGATTGGTGGAGCCGGTGTTTCTTTGGGCTTGCTTTCTGGCTCTTGAGGCAGCTTTGATGTTTTAGGTTGGTCATAGATGTTTCTAAAATAAGACGTGATCCACTTTGGAGCAGGTATTGATGGTGGGACCGGTGTTTCTTTGGGCTTGCTTTCTGGCTCTTGAGGCAGCTTTGATGTTGTAGGTTTGTCATAGATGTTTCTAAAATAAGACATGATCCACTTTGGAGCAGGTATTGAGGGTGGGACCGGTGTTTCTTTCATTCCTTACCCAGGATTCATAGGACTCCACTCGAAGGGGTTCCTCATGCCTTGCATCCGGGCCCGGCTGCGGTGTTGATACCATCCAGAAATGCTATAAAGAAAAAAGAAGCGACTTCATTCAAATCCTGACCCCCTCATCTTCACAGAAGTAAAATGCTCCTGCCTTCCCCTCCTTACCCAAGTGTCCAAAGACAGATCATCGGAGGAGGATTCCTTTGATTCTTCTGGAGCGCTATAGAAGGAGAGAAAACAGCAAAATGTCAGTAATAGATCAAGGGTGCCCACTAAAACACCAGTGAATTAAATTTAAACAAGGAGAAGACCTTACACTCATCCCAAACCCCCTATCCTAAACAAAATAAAYYCTCATCCCCACACCCGTGCACCCTTCACCATGACTTCCCACACCAAAACACTATGAAGCCTTTAAGGAATGGGATATCTGATAGGAAACACTTTAATTGATCTCCTCCTCCGGCAACACGAAAAGGTGTCTTGACAGACTTTCCTGATGTCCTGCAAAAGAGAGARGAGGACAAAGTCAGAGGGAAGAGGACSGAGTTGCTTTGGGGGAGCAGCTGTTTTAGGGCCATTGCTCTTCCCATGGGAGCTTGAACCCMAAAGGTCCTCAAACCTCTCTTCTGATGGGCCRTTCCACYCCACYCAATATCTCATTGAAAAAGGGGGAAGAACAGCACCCCTAACTTCCCCTCCTGGTGATCTAGAGCAGGGCTTCCCAAACTATTTCCACCTGCTTTCCTTCCRWGACAATTTTACATTGACTTACTAACAGATTAAATTACRTATTTAGATTGATCATGTAATAACTAAAATTAGATACAGGATTTAAAACAAATAATTGCATAATAATAATTAYGAAGATGAACTTTTAATGGGCCAGAGCTGGGGRAGGAGAYTGGAAGGCYATGAGATAATATTTAAAGAAGATTGGACTGTTGCACTTAACATTTGGTGACAATATTACCCCTCTCTTTGATATAGTGGATACATTGTGTTTTGGGTATTTTAGATCATCTCTGTCACAAAAATGACATTCTTGTAATTTTAATTGATATGAAGAAATAGATGTATTAATAATAACTTTGTACACTGATCATTGTCTTTTCTTCCTCTCTAAAATTCACTCCCTTCATTTTGTGACATACATAATATTTGAAACAATTTAGCTTACTAACAGCAACAATAATAAAATAATAAAGTTTATTTATACGCCACCACCATCTCCCCAAGGGGGACTCAGGGCGGCTAACATGAGGCCAGGCCCAAAATTACAACCAATCAAATACAAATGCAGCAAATAAAATACAATGAAGCAAAATGCAGTCAGAATAAATACATAACATTACGAACATAAACTGATCCAAAAAGACATGGAAAGATATAAGAACAGAGGGCGGGCCAGATGTGTTAGAAGTAAAATTGGTAAAATTTGGTAATGTCCGGATGAGATAGGTGGAATATATTTCTGAGGGAGTTGTTTTTCTAAGGGG